GAAATTTAAAATAAATCACACAATTTTTAATATTTATTTATTAGAGTCTATATCTTAAAAAATATATTCAAGAAGCTTTAATTAATTCGATTGGTTTTTTATTGACCAGGAAAATATATACACCGTATATCACAAAGTTTATTACATGCTGTATATTCACGCAGTATTTTTATCGAAAAAAGAATACTGTAATTGTTATTTATTTATCTATTTAAGGATACACTTTTAAAAAAAAATTCCCGCTTCTGATAATGTCCATCAGTTAGGCCAGAAATATCATATCCGAAAATATGAAAGGTTTAGAAATCAATAAGATCCGAGAATTGCACAGGATCTTTAATAATAAGTTCCGGATGCATCTTAGAACGAATACCGCAGCCTGCAGTTATGGCCTTCTATTTTCTGCGCTTTTATGCCTTTATGTTACACGATTCTCGGATGCTCGAAAAATATACAGTATTACGATAAGAAATCTTTAATCGCAAAAACAAATAAATACAGTGCTGTAAACCATGCAAATGGATTTGGGTAATTCTTTTTGAAGGCGGACAGACTTTATAATTGTACCCCTAGAATTTATATTGTATATGTATTGTTCAAAAAATAGTGATCAAAAAATCGTATATTACATTTTTATCGTTTTCAAAAAGAATCAGCCATTTGAACTAAATACCGTAGCTTAAGACAATGCGCATAATAACTGAGGAGGAAAGGAAGGAAGAATTTCAGTATTGTTTGGAATCCGCAGAGGCCGGAGATATCCATGCACAATATGCTCTTGGAAGAAGTTACGAAAACGGGATTGGAACTACGGAGGACTATGAGAAAGCATTTTATTGGTACCAAAAATCTGCTGAAGGGGGAAATTCGGCGGGGCAATATAATGTTGGATATTGTTATCAGAATGGGATTGGAACCACCCAAAATGAAGAGAAAGCGTTTGAATGGTACATGAAGTCCGCAGAAAATGGGAGTACTGTTGGTCAGCATAATGTCGGATATTGTTATGAATTTGGAATTGGGACATCAAAATGTGAAGAGAAAGCATTTTATTGGTATTTCAAATCTGCGGAAAATGGAAGCCGATGGATTCCGTATTCACAGTTTAAGCAAATTGAATATTTGGCACATGGAGGCTTTGGCAAGATATTCAAAGCTATTTGGATTCGCGGATCGGGAGAAATTAAGGTAGCTCTCAAAAGCCTTAATGATTCCGGAAATGTCACGATCGAGTTTTTGAAAGAGGTAGTGTAATTTAACATAAATTATTCATTGGTATCTTACATTAGCCATCATTGTAATTTCCCTTGCATTATAGTTCATATTACATAAAACTATGAATAATGAGGGACTTGTTCTTAATTGTCTTGGTATTACAAAAGATTCCAATACAAATACCTATATGATGATAATGGAGTATGCAGAGGATGGAAGCCTACATCAGTATTTATCAGATCATTTCGAAAAAATCACGTGGAAAGAAAAATTAGAAAAGCTGTGCCATGTTGCAGCTGGGTAAGTAGTCAAATACGTACATGTACGTTGTTTTTTATTGAGCTTGGAATTGACATTTAAATATCCGTCATATAGGCTTGAGAATATTCACAAGAGAAGCTTGGTTCACTGTGACATTCATTCTGGAAATATTTTGTTAGGAGTAAGTGGAATTTCGGGGTCTATTCGAATAGCCGATCTGGGTTTATGCCAAGTTCGGTCGACCTCTACGCCTGAAAATGTTTATGGAGTAATACCTTATTTGGCACCCGAAATTTTGGCAAAAAGTCCATTTACCCAAGAATCTGATGTATATAGCTTTGGGATGTTGATGTGGGAATTCACCTCGGGTCACCGCCCGTTCGAGAACAAAAGTCATGATTATTTTCTTAGAAAGGACATCATTGACGGTTTGCGACCTGAAATCACTGAAGATACGCCATCAGCTTTTGCCAATTTGATAAAAAGATGTTGGAATCATAATCCCTCGGATCGACCAAGTATGAGTGATATTAAAAATCAATTTGATAAATGGGTTAAAGAAAAAGAATGCGAGGAGGAATTTATTTTTGCTGAAGAATGTCGTAAAAGTTTGCTTGAAAAAAGAAAATCACGTGGAAGGGATACACATCCTGAAGCCTATTATACAAGTAGACTTTTAAACCCCATGATTAAAGAATCATCAGAAGGTACTCCAAATTGTGTTTTTTTATTTTCATTTTTAAGTTAAGTGCTAAAATCTTTATTGATTTTCTTGTAGTAGTTAATGCATATGATTCTGCGCAAAGTAATCTGAAACTATCAGATATTGTGATCTCTCCATACGAACAGTAATTTTATTAGCATTACGCATAATTTCCATAACAGTTTTCAAAGCTGGTTAAAATCAAACAATGCTAGTTTTGTGTTTTTATTTTTTATTTGTTTTTTGATATAAATACTGTTGTGAGAATAATAGGGATGGGTATGCGACATTGTAACGCGTTGTGAAATCATGTAACAAGTTGGTCATAGCATTTACTGTATCACATGGCCTTCGCCATTTCAGTTTTTATTCTTGGAACGATCCGGGTTTCTCTTTCGTTGGTACGCTACGCCTCATTAAATAAAACTTGCGCCATAAGCGTTTTTTTCTTTAAAAAGTGTATTAAAAAGTTTAAGGGTTACCACTGCTATGATAAAGTAGAAGACTTTACACAAGAAACCTATGTTATCTTTATTCCGCGAAGAGAGACACTTGTGATCTTAAGACGCACCTAGAGGGACGGTCAAGAAGAGATTAGCATAGTGCAGAAGTTCAGTGACGACAACAATATCGACAATACATTATATGTATACGCGCCCATGGTATAGTTTATTCGGACTTAATATCGAGACCTCAAAGTAGAAGTACAGTATAGGTTTTTGGAATGTTAGCAATTTACGAAACAAGTACCTTGAATGCAATTAAATTTATTTCAACAATAATAAAAATATTCTTTGTTCAGTCCTCATTTTACATTATTCTGCAAAATAATAACTAAATATTCTTGATCAAACATACTTCCTATAAAACTTTTTAATAACCGTCGTCAGTTAAGTGAACTAAAGAGTGATTTGAGGTGTTTTATTTGACCGAGTCTTCTCTATTCTCCTCTCTATCTCTATACTTTTACATGTCATTTATATTTTCTTCTTTTACATTTGGCTATAGCGGCTTGAACATAGACATCTTTCCTTTACAGTATTACCTTGTAGTCATTATCGCGTCGATCGGTCACGTGACTGGCGTCTCGTTCTATTTCTCAATTAAAAGAAAAAAAAATAACGAAATGTTGAAATTTAATTTTTTTTCTATAAATTAAATATAAATTTCATCACACTACCCACAATTACGAAATATTCTGAACTAACCTATTCACTATAAAAGTTAATGATTAATATAATTCATATTGCTTTAGAAAATTGAAACCTCTCAAGAGATTTAAATAAAGCATATTATTAAATAAAAATTTGGAATTGAGATAGATCATATAGTCTTACCAGGGAAAGCGCCTGTATATAATAAATAAATATTTTTTTCTAGAACTCAATAGTTGATTGATAAAATAAAAATAACGATGAACGTAACCGAAATATTCTTGAGATGATTACATTTTGCATTATTTTTCAATGAAAATGTGCAAGTAAATGGAAACAAATAATTCGATAACTTATTATTTAACTTCTAATTAAGTATTGTGTATACTGGCGTAGTTTCAGAAAATAATATAACAGATTTATAGTACATTTAATATTTTCTATATTAAATTTAAATGTTTTATTTTTTTGTAATAATCAAATAAATGCAAAACAATTGTTAAATTTTCAATATTTAATATATAAAAAGATCTGTTTTTGGAAAAGAATTTAATAAATTATCAATGTGTTATATTAACGAACAAATAATATTGTTTATAAATATTTATTTTGATTTTTTAAAGAATCATACATTTTTCTATAAATATTTATTAATTTGTTTATAAATTTAAACAATAGCCTTAATTATTTAATTTATTTAATTTATAATTTTGTTTAACTTGGCAATCAATCAATACTATATTTAAAACTTTAAATATATTAATGAATTTTCAAGTATATTATTTTTTATATATGTTAATATAAACTTGCAGTTTATTGGATATAAATGGAATTTACAAATTTTCATTAACTAATACAGTACGTACGTACATAGATATAATAACAAATCTTTGAAATAATTTTTAAATTACAAATATCTTCATTGGCATTTAATATAATAAATTATTAATACTTAACTTAAATTTAATAGAATTATAATCGAATAACACGTATTTTATAAAAAATTATTTACAGTTTATAATATCATGTGAAATTCATGTTTTTTAAAGTAAACAAATATACTGTATATACAGTATAATATCTGTCAAGTATAATAATACTGTAAGAATTAGATGGTTTGAATTTTCACCTGGAATTTATTTTATTACAAAAATTTTCTAGGTATACTTTTTTTGAAAATATTAAGAAATCCTTGGTATATGCAAATGACCAACAATTAAAATAAAAAATTTTTATAGAATATAATTAAATACATTTAAATACAATAAATTCAAGATTTGATTTTGAATATTATATAAACCCTTTGGGAATTTATTAAATCCCGAACTATAGAGTACGGATATCATCATTACATATTACATATACTGTATATTGTACGTGGCACGTATATTTTAAAGAAAATTTTATATTCGATGTATAATCTCACATGTCGAATGGACTTGTTTTGGTACGTATGTGAAATACTTACAGTAAAAATAAGCTTATAGACTACACTTTTGACTCGCCTTTTCATCACATTTTTTAAATTTAATTATATAATAATGAAGTCATGCCTACATCATTATAATTTGCTAATAAAAATGTAAATAAGCATCTTACCAATACAATCTTTATTTGAAACGAACACCGAATTTCTTTGTTATTATAGAAGTTTTTCTTACATAAACATGACTTTAAAAGCCGTTGCCGTTCTTCGCGGTGATAAAAAATTTGAAAGTGATGCAAGAGGTATTGTCAAATTCACGCAGGAGAAAGAAGATGCGCCCACTGTTATCGACGTGGATATAGAAGGGTTATCCCCTGGTAACCATGGATTTCATGTTCAGTAAGTCTCTATATTCAAGAAAAATGTTGAATCAATGTATTTAAGCCTTGACAAATATTTTGATCATCGCCAAAAAAAAGTGAGTTTGGTGATAACACTAGTGGATGTACCTCGGCCGGCGATCATTATAACCCCCTAAATAAACAACATGGTGCACCTCAGGATGAAAATCGTCATCTCGGTGATTTAGGAAATCTCATGGCTTCTAACGATGGCACTGTAAAAACTATAATTGAGGATAAATGCATTACCTTGTTTGGTCCTCACTCGGTAGTTGGGTAAATGATAATTCTTAAATATCCTGGATGTTTGCATCTTCAAGTTTGTTTGAGCACGTTAAAACGATTTGTAGGCGTACGATAATTGTTCACGCTGACAAAGATGATCTTGGCAAAGGGAATCATCATCTTTCTCTTTCCACCGGGAACGCTGGTGCACGTGTTGCGTGTGGAGTAATCGGTATGGTAATCGCTTGGATACATAAGTCGCTTAAAATTGTCGTTCCTATTTAACTACTTTTTGTTATACTCAGGTATTTCGAAATGATTTGAGATGTATATATTATCAAAATTTTAAGGGTTTATTTGCTGAAAATTTGATAGCAAATGCTTCGCTGTCCTTATTCATTTACTTGAATAAACTTGTAACGTAAAACTTTTCGTTGAGATATTCTAAATTGTTGTGATATCACACGTATAAGTATAATATCGATTAAAAAACATGACTGAATCATTGTTAATGGCAAATTTTTGTGAACTTCGGGGGTTTTTTTTTTGAAGATTCGTTTTGGAAACTTTCTTAACTATCATCACTAAGTTAAATAATATTTTATTAAACCACATTTTGTTTTAATCAGCTTAATAATTCAATAAGACAATATGTGGATTTAAAAAATAAATTAATTAAGATTTATACACAGTACATGCAAATAGGAATTTTATTTATTTTTAATATAAAAAAAAATAACAAACAAATGATTGAAATAAAACGCACTAATTCGCAATATAATATAAAAAACTAGAAAACCTCTTTTCGAATATAATCAATTGTGAATAACAAATTACAATTTGGATTTTAAAAACAATTAGATGTTGATTTAAATTATAATGGTTATAAAATAACCAATTTTAAAGGTGAATTTGATACTTTTTTTTTCCTTTAATAAATAAACAAATAATAAAAAAAGAAAAATATTATTGTTATTATTATTTAGATCAAATTATATACAGTATTATTCTTAAATAAATCAAATATAATGTATACGGTGCATTAATTCTTTTTATATTGCATTTACTGCATTTAAAACCTTAAAAAACCAAACTATAGATTGTTTAAACATGAAAATAAATTTTTTAGGATAATAAAATGAAAAAATATAATTATTAATAAAATTTTTAAATAACATTTGTGTCAAAAAAAAAAAACCTTTAGATTTGTTTTTCATATTTTTATACTACACGTATATATTATCTTTTCAAATTCAATAAATCTGTTTTTTCTTTTGCCATTTATAAAAACATTTGTATCAATTCAATTATTATTAATTAAATCATTTCTTAAGACCTTTATTTTTAAAATAATTTTTCATTACATGTTTACTATCCAAATATAAAATATATTATATAAATATTAGCCTGTTATTAAAATAAATAAAAAGTCTTAAACAAAAAAAAAAAATAATAATTGCATATTTTAAAAATTAATGACTTCTTGATAAAATATTTAATTCTAAAAGAACAGAAACCGATTTTCTTTATAATATTTTATTATTTTTAAAAAGAATTTACTTGATATTATTATATGGGTTATTATATAAATTGTTGTCTGTTTTTTATTTTCAATATTAAGTTTAATTTATTGTTTTTGTTATATTTTATAAATAAGATCAAGAATTTTTTTAATTATCATGTTATTTCTATAAAATCAAATACTTTAATATTTAAATATTATAAGTTTATTTTGTAATAACTTGATATCTTGAATATTTAATTTTGTTAATTTGAAATTTCTGAAAAAATTGAAAGTTATATAATTTTATAACAAAATTGATAAAACTAATAAATAGACTGGCCAATTTAATTGGTAAATTAAGATTAAGACTTATAAAAAAAGTCAAAAATTTATATTATATATAATTTTTAATAATTTTTGATTGTTTTTTATATTTATTAAAATATTACAACATAAATAATAAAATTTATATATATATAAAATTAAATTGTATAACAATATATTTAGATTAAAAAAATTTTAAAAAAATTTTAAGACAAATTTTTAAAAAAATTAATTTTTTTTTTGTATAAGAAATTATAATAAGTTTTTAAATATTATTTTTTAAAAAGGTTTTTTTCACGTAAATAAACATTATTCTTTATTTAATTTGTATATATTAAAATATATATTGTAAAAAAAACAATATTTCTTGAATATATTGTATACACAAATTAAATACAAACTTGATTATTTTACAATATCTAATTAATATTGAAAAAAATTTAAAATGCAATATTATAATATTAAATAAAAAGTAGTAGCTATATTTATTTACTTGACAAATTTTACAATCTTTTGATTTTTTGTAAATTTGAAAATAAAATACAAAAAAAATATATACAATAATAAAATAATTAGAGCTAAAACTAAATTAATTAAACAGTAAGATTTATGATAGTAAAGATTATATTTTCAAAAAAGCCTATATCTTCTTATAGTTGTTATGTACTTTGGTAACAAGAAAATTATAGTATAGTTGGTATTAACTATAGCTAAAATTAAATTAATTAAACAGTAAAATCTATAACAATAAAGATTATATTTTCAAAGAAGTTTGTATCTTTTCATAATTGTTATATGTTTTAATAATAAAGAAATTATAAATTACTCATCCATGGAACACTCCGCCACACTTGAGAAATGGGTGTGCCAAATCCTTTTTATAGCTTGAAGGCAAACCTGTATAAAGTGACTGCAGCGCCTTCATGTGAAAAGGTAATCACAAACAAAAAATTTCCCAACACTACTCTGCCTGCTGAATATCAAGCCACATTTGAGAAACAAGCGTGCCAGTCCCACTCATGACTTGGAGACAAACCTGTATAAAGTGGCTACAGCGCCTTCATGTGATTAGGCATTCAAATTAATTTCTAGGTAGCTAGATGCCATTTAAGGCCATAATATAGGTTTT